CAGGAGGCATTCCTGGCGTGCGCTGACCTAGTTACCCCTGCTGCCGGCCGCTGTTTACACCAAGACATGCGGAACCTTGCCGCCTGTGATGACATGGCGACCTCTGGAAGGGCAGCTAATCTCGTGTGCCCCGTGATTGCGTGGGCCGGCCGTCCACCGCGACGCTGGCCGGCTCTCGCCGTCCCCCTCCGCTTCCAGGAAGTGCGGCGGGGGCGGGTCCGGCTGGGGGTCGGGTCACGCGGCCCATGTGCGGTCACGTCACACATCTGTCCGACCCGCCGGTTTCCCGCGCCATCTGCCGCCTGCGCGCGCTTTTTGCCGCGCGCGTCGGTGCCGCGGCGGCGTGCTCTGGTAGCGGCGCGGCGCACGACCGGCGCCGTTTTTGGCCGTTTTTGGCGGGGCGGCGGCGGCGGCGGCGGCGGCTGTCGTGCTGCTTCGCGCCGCCGGTATGATGGCGGTGGGCGCCGACCCGCCGCCGCCGCCGTCGCCGCAGGGTGCGACACGCCATCTCACGGCAGGAGTCGTCCCACCCGCACTGCAGCCACCGCCGTGGAGCTGCCGTTAAACCGCCACCGGACCGCCACCGGACCGCCACCGGACCGCCACAGGGCCGACGTTCCATTACCGCCGAGCCCCCATCACACCATCATAGGACGACTAATGAACTGCATGCGGGCCTCCACGCACCGTCTGTCATCGCACCGGTCGCGCCGGCTGCACCGTCTGCCGCCGACCGGCAGGAAAGCGCGCGCCGCGCCGGCGGACCCGCCTTGCGCAAATATTTGCACCGCCCTGTCGCCAGCCGCGCGCGGCGGCACACGCCCACCCTGTTGTCGTGTCGATAAGTTTTTAGGTCAGCGGCGGCCAGGGGCGTAGCCGGCGGGCGCGCGGTGCCGCCGCCCCGCCCCTCGCGCCGCCCGGCCTGGCACGCCGTGGATAGCAGCGCCGGTCGGCCCCTCGTGCGCGGCAATTAACAGCGTCGGCCACTGCGTGAGAGCCACGGCGAAATTAGCAACGGCCGCCGGTGCCCGGTGGGAGCGTCCAGGCGCTTCTTCGGACTCGGCTGTGATGGAGCGACGTTCCGCCGGCTTGCCTTCCCGTTCTGCGGTTGACCGGTCGGTCCGGCTGCGGCGCGGCGGCGGGCGCGGCGGGTGACGCAGTGACGTCAGCACGCGCGTCGCGCACGGTCGCGAACGCACGCGGAGCGCGTGCGTCCACAATCGTGCGATGGGAGCGCTCAGGTGCGTGGGCCTCTGATGACTGCTCACATGACTTTTCTTAGAGGCCTCTGCGCCTAATATGGCGTGGCAGTTTGGTCGTGTAACGGTGGTGGGGCTCTGAGCGCGGAGGCACGTGAAATCGCTGCACATGACCTGCATGCTGTGCTCTCGACACCAACGCGTGACGGTTATTCACGGGCCGCCTTCCCCGCGATCTGCTCTGACAAGGCCGCGGCCCCTCCCCTCGCTTTGCTGCCCCCTCACCGGACGCAGCAGCCGTCTGCGGTGTTCGCACACCGCCGCGGAGAGGAGCGGACTTCCGTCAGCCGTGCACCGGCGCCGGGCCCGTATCTGTGTCAGGGCCCCCGGCGCCGCGCACGCCGCTCCGCTGTCGCGTGCGGCCGCTGTGGAAATAACCGCCGAACGTCTGCCTGGGAGCGGCAAGAAACGGCGACGGCGACGGTGGGGGTGGGGGCGGGAGGGGTGCCGTGTTTGGCCGCCCGACACGCGTCGCCGTCACTGAGAAGCGCACCCTATGACACTCATCGCTCCGCGCCCCGCGCCCTGCCTGCTCCCTCCACGCCCCCCATGTCGCGGTGTTTATGTTTGTCTCGCGCAGTACATGTCAGAGTCGGCATGGTTTGAATGCGCGCTGATTTGCGGCGCGGTTATCTGCGCCGTTAACGTCTGCGGCGTCTGCGGTGCGTCGCGCACCGCGGAGGACGATGATCAAGGCCGTGCAATCGCTGACAGCCCTGGTGCCGCCCGTCTGAAGTGCATGGCTGGACCTGTGCAGGCGTGGTTTTCGTGCGCCTTGGAGTGGTCCAGTCTACACCGGCTTTTCTGCGGGCTATTTCCACTTGAAGTGGCGCTGGCAATTGCGGGTCGCGCGGCCCTGATGACAATGGTGAGTGCGTGCAAATTGGATGGTGGAACAAAGCTGGCACACAATTATGGATCGTAAGGAAATGCAAGACGAATCGCTGATTTTTTGTCCGTGTCGGCCACTTTCATGTGGGGTGTGTTTTACGACTGTTGTGCACTAGAGAAAGCGTATAGTCAAACCGAAGCGAATCCCTGTCCTCGTTAAACCCACCCGAGTCGTGATTCCACCTACGTGATATGCGAAATGAATGCCGGGTCCTTCAGCGCTAGAGCGATGTCCGCGTTGCCGTACGGTTCGAGTTTGATGTAGATACACGACCAGCCTTGCGCTCTCCATTTAATCGTAGCGTAACGTAAGTGCTGGCGGCTTCAAAGGTTGGACAGGATAATTTAGCGCAGGTCGGCCAATGCTAAGAACACTTCGGATCAAAGGGTGACTCCGAAGGAGCCCTGTTTACGTCATGTTTCATTATGTTTATGAGCCTGAAATCGCGCACGGCGATATCCATTGACCGTGCTAGGCATGTTTCTTGCTGGGATGTGTACTCGTGCTCGCAGAGTCATGTTATGGAGCGACGAGACCTTGAATCAAATGGGCTTAAGAAGCGAATTATTTCACTGCGAGGAGACGTCGGTGGCTGGGCGACATTACCGACAGCCGGACGACCGGACGAAAAGCGCCGATGTGTTAGAGCTCTGTCATTACCCAATGCGTGGAACAAACCGCATAAACTGTCGCCAATCACACCACTCACCTTCGGCTGGGAAGCGCGTCACCAGCTCCGAGCCGCTGCACTGGCGTGCCGGACGGTTCGGCGCCTCTCCTGGAGCCCACCACCCGCGGTGGCGACCCGGCGTGGGTCGGGCGGGGCGCCGCGCCCGCTGTCGGCGCCGCCGGAGCGACGTGACGTCACGATGTGTCGGGGTCGGGGGTGTGGGCCCGTGTCGCCGGGCGGGGCCTGTGCCAGCTTTCCGGGCGGGGCGGTGGTGCGCGCCTGTCGAACGCCCTTTTCCTGCCGCGCTGCATTGATGTGCCTGTCGAGCCCGCATTGGGTCGCCCAAACGACCCGGCAAAAACGGACCCGGCGCGGCGCGCTGCCCGGACGCGATCGGTCGGGCAACAGTGCTGTGCAGTGTCCACGGGGTGCACGGCGCTGGTGGGCCGCGCTGCTGTGTTCCGTCCGCTGTGGTGACGCTGTGGGATGGGGCTGGCTGGCTCCGTGGTGAGTGCCCCTGCCGCTGAGCACGCTACAGCGGGGAAATCAGAGGGTCGGCCGACTCGAGTGTTTTTGCCCGATGGCCTCAGGACAGGGCCGGATGCCCACGGCGCGGGGGAATATGCTCACCAGCCCTTAAGAGCCAGCCTGTCGGTGCTTTGTTTGTCGCACTCAGTTTCATTTCGTGCGTACTTAATTGTATATGTGCAACACCCAAAAGCATGTATATTTGTGCTCTCATTTATTATCTTTGCAACAGCGATCGTATACAATTGCATTGTATTTAGTTGATAATAACATATATTTATGCTGGTTCCGAAGCCGATACAACTCGGCGTGAAGGTTGCAACTCTGATGCTTTGGATGCATGATATTGCTCAATTAAACAGCGCGTAGGCTTACATGATTTACTCCCTTCAGTCCTAAACATGCATTTTATTGCACTGCGAACACCCGCGAGAAGGGAAACAAAATATTCCAGTCTGGCTTTAGCTCAGTCAATCTAGTGCTCCCTCGCCGTGATCCAGGATAGAAGGTCAGCTGCTGTCAAATCCCCAGCTTGTGGTGCGCTGGAATTGACGTTGATTATACCAAGCGGACGATGGTTAGACAGATCCAGTTGATCAGACGTAATAATCGAAATGCATGATGCCAGCTTCCGCCGGGAAGGCTTTCGACGCTGTCTTTCCTCATCCTGATAACACGAAACAACCGAGGCCTGTGTAATCTTCTTCCTTCGAGACGGCTTTTGACACTGCCTTTCCCCACCTTGCCTAGGTAGAATGACCTAAGCCGGTGAAGTCCCATTTCGTGAGGAGAGCTTTGGACGGCCCTCAGCGTCGCACCCACCACCGGTCAGTCGGGCCGACATCTTTGGCGCCGTCGGCGTCCTCTCACGTCCATCTGCCCGGACAAAAAGCGCCGTCGCCGCACCGGCCACGCTCGCCAAACCGGGCCGCACAAACTGGCACAAGGCTGAGGAGCGGGCCACACCGAGCGCGCCGACGCGATGGCACCACGCCGACCGCGATAGGCCACCCCCAGTGCCACCAGCCTGCCCGGCGGCGGCGGGCTGACGCCGGTGCGGCACGCGCGGGGCGGGGGCGGGGGCGGGCGACCCGCCCCGTCCCCGCCGCTCTCGGCGGCGGACGGGGGCCGCCGGTGTGTGGCGCTTGGGGCACGTCGCTGGCTTTGTCGGCGCGTTTAGCGTTTCCTCGAGCGCTTGTCAATAGTGGGCGGGGAAGGTAATGCTGCAAACGCGCCGGATCCGAGGCACGTCACATGCTGCGGCCCAAGGCCGCCGCGCACCGTTCAGGCGGGGGCCGAGTTCACACCGCTCCTATTGCTGGCTCTGATATATTACCGGCTGCCCCTGCGCGGCACGCTCTCATTGACCCGGGATTTATGCCCGCAGCCTGGCTGGGCGTGTTCGGCGGGCAGGGGCTGCTCGCCGCGTGATGTATCTGCCAGCAGGATGTATTGGGCCATGAATCAGTGACCCGGCGCGGCCGCGTTATGCAGCTCGTTATTCAGCCAGTATCGGGTCTGGCCTGAGCGCGTCTCTTTCTGTTCCAGGCCGATATATGCCCCTCCCGTCTCTAACGGCGTCCCATTCTGCGTGGGCGCCTTCAGCTGGGAGATTCCCTGATCTGATGGCGTCTCTCTCGCCCTGTTTCAGAGCTCGCCGCCGCTGTGGGGCTCGTGCCGGCCGCATGGTGCCCCTGGTCGCCGCAACCGTCCGCTGGCAGCGCGCTAGTCGCCGGTAGTCGTCCGCAACCGTGCCCCAGTCGCCGGCACGCGGCGCCCTAGTCGTCGGAAGTTCTGCCTTGCGCCGGCGTCATACCACGAGTGCCGTCGATGCACGCAGAAATGACGTCAAAAGAGGTGAGTGGGCGTCGCTCCAGAGCCAGCACGCGGTGGTGAGAGGGCATTCTCGACCGGGGTGCTTCATGTACCGCAGTCGATTATGTACTGCTGCACACCTCATCACTCCCTGCGTGATGACCAGTAGGGAGTGGGAGGCTCATTTGCCGCTATCAGGTATACGTGTTCAGAAATAATTACATGGACCGCAGGGACTCAAGCGATACCTGGTTTGGGTTTTCTCATTGAGAGCACCACAGCGCTTCCAGCAAGCATACTGATCTGGACAGGTTTTCCCGAAGGGCATTCATTTACCTGGTGTGACGGCTGGCTGACCTAAGGGCGCCAAGACGAGCTGGTCTCTCCCATACCCAACTATGCATTTCGCCGCACGTGACCCACCTACCTTTAGACTCACCCCACCCATGTTAAAAGTCGCTGTACGGAATGTCATGGGAGCTCCTTCCACCGGCTCCGCAATCCCCTCGGCTCTAGTTCCTTGTTCCACCAGTCGAGCAGTCCTCCAGTGCTTGGTCCGTGCTCCGCCAGTCGGAAAGCCCGCTGGTCCCTGGTCCGTGCTCCGCCAGTCGGAAAGCCCGGTGGTCCCTGGTCCGTGTTCCGCCAATCGGACAGCTCGCTGGTCCCTGGTCCGTGCTCCACCAGACGGAAAGCCCGCTGATCCCTGGTCCGTGTTCCGCCAATCGGACACACCGCTGATCCCTGGTCCGTGCTCCGCCAGTCGGACCGTCCGTTGGTCCCTGGTCCGTGCTCCGCCAGTCGGACCGTCCGCTGGTCCCTGGTCCGTGTCCCGCCAGTCGGCGGTCCGTTCTCGCCGCACGTTCGAGTCTCTCCCGATGGACAGCGTTTGCTGAGCGCCGTCGCCGTTTCCTGCTCAGACGGCTGTTCAGGCGACCTGGTCCGGCCGCGCCTGTGCCAGTTATTCAGCCGAGCCGAAGCGGCTGAGGCGGGCACGGCAGGCGACGGGCAACGAGACCACTCGGCCCGGCCCAGCGCCGTAAACCCGGGGCGAACCACTCGCCCCGGCCGTCGCCGCCGCCGCCGCCGCGCATACCAGCGTGCGCGCTTCATGGCCGATTTTACGACTTTTCTTGTTTACACGTGGAAAATACGCGTAAATTGGGGGTTTAGGGGCCGGCCGTCGGATTTATATCTCCAGCCGCTAACACGGGGAAGGTGTGGCCCATTAGCGGAGATGATGCCACCGTGCCGGCGTGGACGCCGTGGAGCGGGCGGTGCCGGCCGGTAGCGGCGCTGGGTGCCGAAGTGGCCCGCTCGACGCTCCCAGCGGCGGCACACGGGGTCAGGGTGCGCGCGTCACGCCCGAGTAACCGCGCTGTGTCAGGGCTGGTTTGCCGCGTTTGGGCCGAAAGTGAGCCCGTGGCAACGGTCGTCGACAGTGGGGCGCGCCGCGGCAGTGGCCCGCTGTCCGCTGTCCGCTGTCAGCTGTCAGCGGTCCGCTGCTGACCTAGCCTTGCTCGCCTCGCCTGGAGTTCCTTCCTCGTTCGCCACGACGGCCGTTGGCCGCTGCAGATCGGCATTGTCGGCCGCGCCAAGGGCACCCCTTGTCACATTGGCTGCAGTCAGCCCCACTGGGTCGGCATCGCGTGAGCGCGGCGGCCGGCGGCGAGCCGACCCAGTCCGAACAGCGCCCGCATTTTCCTGTCCATCAGGAGGCGCTACCGTCGCGGCTGCCTCACGCTCCAGATGCCACGCCTCCATTACTCATGGTCCGGACGCGTGATTAGTGATTATCACCATTTGTCATGGGTCGGACACGTCGCATTTTTGATGTCTTCTTCCCACCGTGGCGGCAGTTTCGTCTATTTTTTTGTCGTGATGTGCATACGGTCGTTCCGATGTTCTGCGCGCTTTCTCTACCGCACATGACGGTAAGTGGTATCAATGGGTGTGTTTTCTGCTAAATGCAAACCAGCCTGGCAAATGGCCGAATTAGCTTAATGGACCGAAATTGGATGTGATTATCGCCTACATGATTCTCGTAGATGTGGGATGTGCAATCAAGCGTGCGGGCGGCGACCACACACGGAAGCTAGTGGAGACTTAAAAAGGAAATTTACTTCAGCATGTCGGCATATACGTCGGATGGCTAACCGAACGAAATGGCGTGTGCGTTGCAATTTGCATGCTGTCACTACAGAAAATCATTGGTGGACGGTTTTGTCCTCTGCCTTTTTAGCCATGGTATGATTTAAATTTATATGTGTGCTACTGTTTTTGTGTGGGCTGAGTCTATCGTGGCTCATTTAGCGAGTTTTCTTGTCGTCATATTATCGACCGTCACGTATTTCACTCCGACACGCAAACTGGTGACCGGCACGGAAACTGATGTGGTCGGCTGCGATACGATGGTCTTAGTTTTTGCGCACATTGACAAAATGTAACGATTTATCTTGCCCACCGAGCGCACATCCCCACGGCGTATTTTGTTTGTGCGTGGCATCGAATGAGAACACAACGCTTGCAATGAATTTTGACAAGGGTGGCTAGTTCTGACTCTCCGGGTTTGCACAATCTCTGTGTTTTGCATTTGTTAGTTGTTTTGTGATTTTATTGCATTGTTGTTAGTTGTAATGTGATGCATGCAACTGCACGCAGACTCCGTTGTGCTGTGTGCTGACGTTTCAACTGGCTGATTTCCCGCCGACAGTCGTGTAAGTCATCGTCCCAGACACTGAGCTTCGCAGGCAGCCGCCGTTCGATCTGCCCCCGCTCTTCTGTGAATAGCCCTAATGGGCGGTCACTGTTTGCCTTACCGATAGCGCGGCGTCTCGCCGCGACCTTGCCGCCAAGCCCTCTCCACATTCAAATGTTGCCGCCTGTAGACGGAACCGATGGAGCTTTCGCCATAGAGGTCATCCCTCCCTTTCTACGACCCGTAAAGGACCCTTATCAGGCGGCTCGTTACCCGAGGCCTCATCGGCCGTAAAACATTGTGCATAATTGGGAGCGATCCCTCGTGCACTTCTGTGGATGCCGATGCACGGCCTCCGCGCCGGTCGCGTTTGCATGAGGCCAATGTGTGGAAGTCGGCTCCCAGCCCGCCATCGACGACGACTGACGAAACCGCTGCAGCCGGGGACGAAATGATGATTAAGTGGACCATTATGTCACCGTTGCTGGTGGATTCCACGCGTAATGCAGCGTTCAATTATCTAGCAGGCCTCTTGAGAAATCCTAACAGGCCTCCGAAAACAATGGACGTGAAGCCGCGAGTAAACGTGGATGGCAAACCGATACAATCATTTAGAATCTCACAGGCATTACGGCAATTATGATTACAGTGATGGTAGCGCCAAATTTAATGAAGCCCCAGGTGGATCCGATTGAATTTATGGCGTTCAGTTCGCACGGTGCGGCCTTAATGATAGGCTGTGTGTCCTCATATTTCAAGACACATTCACGCAGTGCAGCTGACTTGCCACGATGTCAAAATGTGCCGTTTTGAGCAGGGTGATGGTGATATTAAGGGAAAGCTCGCCGTGCTTGGCGCTGATAGCACGAACCAATATATGATTTTTGAACCATTTGGTCTATCTCCATCATCGTAAGTTCATGAGTGATAACAGGGGAGCGCTCGGGCGCAAACAAAACTGGAATGCGCTTTTAACAATGCCTGTGGTCCCGCACTGGAGTTTAGTACTTGTTAGCCTGATTTTAAGCGGCCCTCAATCTTTCGTTTGCGTCCCATTGGCGTTTAGTATCGGCTTTAGGACTGCGACCTCCGCGAGGAGTGAGCAGCCGAATTGAACGGGGATATTTAGTGGGTTTACTGCCGGGTCTCGGCGGGATATTAATTTTTGAACGCCTGCTTCCAGCTGGGGTGGTTCGCCACAACAAGGTCTTCCGTGCCCCGGACCTCCTCTATCGCCATCTTGGATAAGATCTGGACCAGCGTGTGTTGGCAGTCACCGCCTGGAAACTAGACTAGCGCCAAGCCCAGAAACGGCACTTGCCAGCGCACCGTTCTCGTTAGGAAGTCCCGACGTCTTCAAGCTGGACGTTGTCTGGCCGTGTTCGGGGTCAGGGCCGCCGCTTTGGAACATCTCCGCCATCTCTGCCAGTTATCGACACCTATGTGCTGTGATTGCCCTCGCAACAGCCCCAATTACTCCCTGCAACTATCACCATTGCCTTAACCACCGCACCATCAGCCGGGGTGTTGGTGAACGGAGTGAAGCTGTTATCTGAACGTCATCCGCACCAGCCTCAGTCGGCGCCGCCGACCATGTACCGCACCGAGCCGTGGACGACAGGTGTGGGATGCTCCACACTTCTCTGCCTCTTTCTCTCTAGCCCGTCCTATGGCCTGGCGTCATCGTCAGGATGAGACTCTGGTGCGGTTGACCTGGGCCCGTCTGGACGTATGTTTCGTGATGCGGTGCTCGTTCCGTCCCCAATCGTGCCGTCCACACTTGTCACGCCCTGCTCCAGAACTAACGCTTCCATCATCTCGCCGCCAACGGCACAGCCCCAGGCGAACTCTGCCAGGCCCGACGTCGACGTGTCGTTGCCCGACCTAGCGACCGGGTCGATCGTCGACGCCAACGCCGGCCGCGCGGCGTCGGAGCCTGGGGCCAGCGCCGCGGCCGCCCGCCTGAGCCTCGGACCACGGCCGTTAGGCTCCGGTTGTGCCGCGTCCGCGCCTCGGAGGCCGCTCGTGACCGCGCCGGCCGCGGAGGCGACGACGCGCGGCCGCGCGGTCATCCGCGACCCCGCCCGGCCGTGGCGGCACGCGACGGCCCGCCCGCCATCGACGCGTCACACCGGCACGCCCGGCATCACACTAGCGGCGCCGGCGGCGCGGCCGCGTGCTGCCGCGCCGCCGGCGGGGTAGCCACATGCTGCCGCGCCGCCGGCGGGGTAGCCACATGCTGCCGCGCCGCCGACGGGGTAGCCGCGTGCTGCCGCGCTGCCGACGGGGTAGCCGCATGCTGCCGCGCCGCCGACGGGGGGTAGCCGCGTGCTGCCGCGCCGCCCGACGGGGTAGCCGCATGCTGCCGCGCCGCCGACGGGTAGCCGCATCCTGCCGCGCCGCCGACGGGCACGGCCGCGTGCTGCCGCGCCGCCGGCGGGGTAGCCGCGTCCTGCCGCGCTGCCGACGGGCACGGCCACATGCTGCCACGCCGCCGACGGGGCAGCTGCATGTCACGCTGTGGCATTCACGACGCGGGACTGCTGTGCCGTCGGCGGGGAGGATGGCACCCAAGCTTACTTACGCTTCGGCTAGTGACGCCTTGTGAGCCGCACGCACCACCTAGGATTTTTGGTCTCCATTTTGATGTTTTGTGACCCCTCGCCCGCTGGTGGATCCTACTGACGCCGTCGTTGGCTGGAGAAGCACACTGGCTTCCAATTAGAAAAGAATGTGTTAATCTCACCATTCCACATTTGTTCATGGTCTATACATCGAACTGGCCATAGGTGAGACTGCAGGCATTGAGCTGTAGTCCACGTTGCCACCACGAGTCTATTCAATGAACGCCACTGGTCAGGACATACAGTCCCAGCCGTGGTAAATGGATTCCTTATTCCCCCACTAGCTATCAAGCGAATCCACTTGCTTCTTGATGATAATCAGCGCTCCCAAACCATGCCGCCGTCCGCGTCAAGGCGACATAGTTATCGCGCGCATCAATGCGACATCAAGATTAAACAAACAGCATTTGGTAAACCTCTGTTCACTACGATGGTATGATATGATTGTTGGTTTTGCTGACTGCAGAAATATGTGTTTTCTTAACTATAATGTTCTAATCGCTTCCCCGGTATTTCGTTTGGAGCGATTCTTACTGAAGTTTGGAGTTTTGCTACTACTCATGTTCAGAGTTGTGCATCTCTGGTTTAAAAACGTGCCCGTTAGAATGATTTACTGCGAGATGTTATGAATGTGACGTAACGAGTTCGGTCAGTTGCACGTGCGCCTATCCAAAGAGTGAGTTGTTTCAACGATGTCAACTGTTGGCACGCCATAGTATGCGTAATTGCCTCAGAACTGTCTGGATTCTGAAGCAGTGTTGGCGTGTATACATAAAAGCAGAAATAAACCAATGACGATGCCAAATGGCCATTTAAAGCCGAAGGCAGGAATGGGCCGTTTTCGTCTCGCTCATAACGTATTCACAGGATCGCAGGACGCGGTTGTTGCGACTCTCTGGCTTCACTGCTGTTTAGAGTCCGTAAAGTTCATCGAGATCGATGCCGCTTTCGCGGCCCATTTTACACCTGGCGGGACGCCTGGGAGATCTGCGGTGACGGCAGCCGCTGGCAGAGTGCAGTGTTGCACTTAACCACACGACTGGTTTCCACGGCGGACATTTGTCGTAAACTGCGCTCGGTGAGCCGGCACCGGCTATGGTCGGGTTTTCCAGGCAGCCGGCAGCCAATTCCAGGCGGCCGTCAATTCGGCGACCGTGGCGAGGCTAACTGGCAGCAGCTGGGGTTCGACCCAGGTACGCCAGGTTCACCCACCGCCGCCGTGCCTCACGTGTAGAAGCAAGATGAATGGGGCGAACCACCAGCCGCGTCGAACTGGTGTGTGCTTTGGCCTGTTGTGATGTGGGACGACTCGTAGGCTGCCTGGGAAGCCGTCGTATTATGGTCAGCCAGCTGCTCCCAAATGTCGGCCACGTTCATCACGGCTCACGTGTGACGTCAGCGCCAGTGCAAGGGCGATATATGGAAGCGCCTTATGTTCCTCGGTCTTCTCGCGACCTTGCGTCCGGTTGGGTCACCTGCTTCGGCGGCGCTCCGTCGCCTGGTGTTCGTCTCCCGCCAGGCGTTCAGGGCTCTGGTTACGACGTGGCTGTGGTCTTGGCAAGCACTGGTATACGCCACCCTCACCCGTGACGCTCGGTGGCACGTGCAGGTAACGCTGAGGGAAGGCCAATGCCTTCAGCTCTCACTGCCGTTCGCTAATCGCCACACCGGACCCTGATCACCGGGCTAAAGGACTGCAGCGTTCCGACATAAACCGCCACTGTACCTCCGCCCAGACCTGCGCCCCGCGGCGCATCAGCCGCCTGGAGCCGCCTCTGACGCCGCGCTCGTCCGCAGGCCGAGTGCGCGCCGGAGCAGATGGAGCCGGTCGACCTCAGCATCAACAAGCTGGCCGCGGCCGGCCATACCCGGCTGAAGGAGGCCGGCAAGCCCGCCGTCGTGCTAGACATCCCGCACTTCGACTCCAGCGAACTGACTGTGATAAAAACAGGTAGGTCCCAGCCACGCCCCCGCCCGCCCGGCCCACCCCGCCGGCCTGGCATAATAGCGTTCTCGTGTACGTCGATGCACCCCGGCTGCACGTTATCCGTTGAACGTGGCCCGAGTTGTAATGCTAATATCGCGGCGATTTCGGAACCCGATTGCACGGCAGTGTCCCGCGGTCTGGACGTTTGATCGGGGCGCTGGAACGCGATATTCGGTCCCTGCATATCACGCCGGCATCGCAGATGAGATATGGCCGCCTCCGGGGCCCTATAAACTGGGCCAGTGCTCTGGAATCACGTTGTGAGACTTACGTCACACGCGTGGGAACGAAACGGCCAAGGAACCGGCAGTTTGCTACGTAAGGCAAATCATTTAACATTCGCGAACAGAGCCTCGATCGTGTTTTATGCCATGCATTATCATAAGGGCCAATAGCAGTCACCGTAGCTCAGGACAAGCCCACGTAATTTGACGTGACGCCAACGCTCTCAGACCTCAGCTTATCTAGGACCGATTGTCCACGGTCGCCTGTCGCGCACGACGGTCGTTCGTTGGTGGGGGCACGCGTGTGCCGTTCGCCGTTGCCGGGCGTGGCCCGCCGGACTCGCACCGAGCACCCGCCCGCAATGGACTGGCCGGTTAATGCTGCGAGCGTGCGGCGGCCACACCCTGAGGCTCGGCGCGGGGCGGGCCGGGCTGGCGATCACTGCAGGCCGGCGCCGATTATTTACGGGAGGCTGAATGTCGCGGACCCGTTAGTAATGCCGGTGCGCGTGGGGCAGCCTGCAGCCGGCGGCCGCGAGCGAAGGGCGGCGCACAGGCTGCAGGTCGGCGTCGGTTTAAGAGGCGACCCTCGACCCGTAGCGGGACCGGCCGGCGTTCCCACACCCATCGCCGCGCCGACCCACCGTGCCATCTCATTACACGAGAATCGTGCCAAAACGGCGGCCGTAATGGCAACCTTGGCGGCTGAATTTATCGGCCCGACGGCGAGCATCGATCGTAATTGTAATTACGTTTATACGGGGCACGCGTGTCGGCCGTGATCGGCCGGGCACGCCGCGAGGGAACGACCGAACAGCGAGCACGCCACCGGGGAGCGACTGAGCACGCCCTCAGGGGGAGACTGAGCACGCCACCAGGGAGCGACTGAGCACGCCACCGGGGAGCGACTGAGCACGCCACCAGGGGCGACTGAGCACGCCCCCAGGGGGAGACTGAGCACACCACCAGGGAGCGACTGAGCACGCCACCGGCGGGGGGGGGGGGGGCGATTGAGCACGCCCCCAGGGGCGACTGAGCACGCGCTCAGAGGGCGACTGAACACGCCCCCAGAGAGCGACTGAGATGCCCTTAGGGAGCGGCTGAGCACGCCCTCAGAGAGCGATTGAGCACGCCCCCAGGGAACGGCTGAGCACGCCGCCATTGAGCGGCCTGGAACGCCACAGGAAGGGAACGTCTCGGCAGTGGGCGTGCCACGAAGGAGCGGTCAAGCATGCCGCGGGGAAACGACGGGACACGCCGCAAGGACATGATCGAGCGTGCCGGGCTGTGGCTGGTGACTAGGCCGGAAGAAAACATCAGCTCTGGCTTCCATGCGACCCCGGGTGCCTGATCTTACCGCGGATACAGTTATCCCGCCGCGTCAATTGGGAGTGTGGCGCAAAGACCGGGATGCCTCATCTGATGGAGCCGATCCTGATCGGGACACGGGCCTGGTACTGCCCCCCCCCCCCCCCCACCCTCCCCAGTGCCGGCGCGGCCGCCAGCATTGCAGTGCTGCAGATTCGGCGGGATAAGCAGCTGTAGCCGTGGACCGGCGGCTTTGTGGACGCTTGGGGCCGTGAGTGTGCGGCATTATGGACGCGTGCGACTAGGTCCGTGAAAGTTGGGATGGGCTGTTGTATTTATGGAGGAGGATGAGTGCAACAAACAGTGAAACGGAAAGTGTTTGAACATTCGAGCGGGTCGGAGAGGCAGTAAAGCATTAAAGTGGTGGTTTGATTGAAAACAGAGAAACATGGCTTGTGAGGGGCTGAGGAAGCCGACAATTGGGCCCGGTTAAGCAGCCAATACAGTATATGAGCGCTGGTAGCATGGAGCGGTGGGGCTCAAGCCCAGTGGGTAATGAAGCATTAACTCCAAACAGCCGCGGCGTATGAGCTTGCGCGGCGAGGCGACTGATTTAAGTGACAGTGCCGTGGTTGCGGTCAGAGCGAGACCCTGACGGGTGCGCGTGGGCGGGATATATCTGTCGCGGCGTGCATTAACTAGAGCCCGCCTGTCCAGACGTGCATTACGTAGATGTCGAACGATTCATGGGTATCTCCCGTCAGCCAGCGGCGCGTCGGCGGTGGCGGCCGCATTAGCTCGAGGTCTCCTTACCATCGGCGGAGCGGCGGATCTGGCCCGATTCCCGGCCTTGTCCGCCCGGCCGATCGCGCCTATCGTTTCTGCGGCCGCCGCCTCCGACCCTCGCGCGGCGGCTCGTGTCCCCTGGCCGGCTTGTCACAACGCTGGAGGCGACACGCCCGCGCGAGCTCTCCGCCGCTGTCGCCGAACGACGCCCGACTGGTGCCGAGGCCGGCGCCCCTGCGCTCGCGCGGCCTTGCCACTGGCCGCCACGCGCGGCAGGCGAGATGAATTAGCGGCGCGCGGTGTGTGGCGTCGCGTGTGTTTTGGCGTAGCCGGCCAGGCCGGCCAGGCCGATTTGTCAGGCGAAGGGGCGCCCGTGTAGCGCGGCGCCCGAGTCTCGCGTCACCGCCTCGCTGGGTCACGGTCGCACCGGCCGTCGCAGAGTCGACTTCATCTCGCCGGCGGTACGCGCCCTCGTTAGCATTGCTAATGCTCGTTTTTATCGGCGGCGAACTCGTGTCTTTGTCGTCCCTCCCGCTGGGTGTTTGAGAGGAAGCGATTCCTTAATGTGTCGTCGCCAGTGAACCGTTCGGTTACTCGCGGCTCGACTCTTGTCGATGCCTAAATTGGCTACTTTGTCGCGGTTATACGACTGCGCGCGGAAGAGGATAGCGATCATCTGTGTGGCCCTGCCGGCAGCGAAGGGCGTGGATTGTCCAACGCTCAGATATCAAAGCACTCATCAGCGCCCACCAATATGATATACACGGTCGATAGCGTCATCAATCGAACGCGCGATAAAGTTGCCATCGGCCGGGGTTTGCAGTGCCGCTTTTTATTAGGCCCGTCTGCAACGTTCCACCGAGCGATATCTATGCATTCGCGTCGCAATCAAGCCCGTTTCACAATCGACGCGCGGCGCGGTGCGGCGTGGCGTGGCGCCCCCGCCCGGGGGGGGGGGGGGGGGCACCGGGCCATCCCGCCCTGGAGTGTGGCCAGGCCGCAGCGGCCTCGCCCCGCCGCCGCCCGTCGTCCGTCTTCGCGATGTTTGGCGGCCGCGGCCGCCGGCCGCTGATGAAGACACATTGCAGCAGCGAGCCTGCGCGGCGCCTGGTCATCAGCGGCGGCGGCTGCGGGGTCGCCGCCGCCGCAGATAGCATCGGCAGCGATCGGCGCTCTGCTGGCGCGACCGGGCGGCGCGGCGGCACGGCTACCAGGGCGACGGCGGCCGTCACCGCCACCGCCGCGCCGCTCACGTGATCGATGACGACGGTCCCATCGACCGGCCCCGCCCGCGGCCGCCGCGGGCGGACGCCCGGCCCCACGGTACCGGCGGGTACTGGGTGGGACGGCGACAGGGTATTGGTGCCGGCGTGGATACTGGCTCCCGAAACATCTGGAGGGAGGACATTAGCTGCTGTCATTAATTTACGCCAGGAATGACTTTCCGTATCAGATTTTCACATCTGCCTGTACTCATGATGGTCTTTACGTTCCGCACATTATTGTTAAGCGCATGGGTGGGTGGTCAGGCTGTCACGTTCAGGGCTGGCAAGTTTCGTGACATATTTCAGGCCCTGCTTTGGGGTCGGTGGCGGGGCGGACTGAGCCTGTCGCCGGTGTGGTGGGCGGCCTTACCCCGTTGCCTGGCTCGCTCGGCCGACAGGGCTGACACGCAGCGTCGACATGTCGGGTCGACGGGCGATGGCCGACTTTCGCCGGCGCCCGTCGGCAGGGCCGCCGGCGGAAGATCCACCCGCCAGATTGTCGGCCGGAGAGAGCGGCAACAATGGGAGGGCGTGCTACCCCGCCCCGGCCGACCCAGCCGCCGCTCCCGCTGAGCCGCCCGGCGCAGGCGGCGGGCGCATCGCAGCACGCCCCGCGAGCGACGCCGGTCGGATGGGTGGCGTGGTGCTGCACTGCACGCTGTTTGGTGGCTTGAAAATCGGCCGGTGTTTGAGCTCGAACGGCGGCGGTCGACCCTGAATCACATCGTCCGAGAAAGTGGCGCTGTGTGGAGCGGGAGTTCCGGCGCGGACCTCACCACCGGCTGGTCCTGTGCATGGAGCGCGCTTAGGGTCGCGTCCGATGGGATGCCGCCGGCGCCGAGAGATTGCCGACACACGACGCTGCAGCCGTGCCGTTCCATGCCCCTCGTTAGTGCGAATGCAAATGAAACTTCACCCCACTCTGTCTCTCGCTCGTGTCAAGGCGAGGCAGCTTTGCCAGTCATGTGGTACGCCCGCTCTCCGGGCGTTTTCACACCCGGCCTGCCGAGTTGGCGAAAGATAAACGGCGTGAACCGAGCGCCCGGACGCCGCCGGTGCCGCGCTGACCCGGCTCGCGACCCACGGGCGCGGGTGGCGCGAGCGCGGGCCTAGCCTGGCCTAGCCGGTATTGGTCCCTAGAGTTACCAAAGCCGCCCCCGCAGGGCCCAGCTGCCACGCCGGCCCTTGAGTTCACCAGTCACGCCCCAGTAATTTCCGTCAACAAACGAACGGACGGGTGGACGGGATGACGGCCACGCCGGCGTCACTAGCTGTAACGAACTGACGGGTGGACGGGATGACGGCCACATCGGCGTCACCAGCCGTAACAGACGGGCGGGTGGACGGGATGACGGCCACGCCGGCGTCACTAGCTGTACCC